CGGCACCAAAACAGAGCCCACACTTTCGCCAGCCACACCGATCCGCCGCTTTGAAGTTCCCGGCTGTGCGAAAGCCCCACAACCGAAACGACACAGAGCGCATCTGGTGGCCCATGCTCCAAGGCTCTGCTAGGAGCCACTGGGGAGAAAAGTGTGCACGGCAAGCAAGGCAATCCCAAATCCCAGACCCCAGACGCTAAACCCTAAACCCCTAAACTCCTGGACCCTAAACCCTAAACCCTATTTAAACCCAAACTAAGATGGAACCGGGCCTGGAGCTTGGATGGCCAAAGACCGGGGATTCTGGTCGGGGAGTCGTAGCTTTCGTAGCTCGACTCCTTTCAAACTTTCCAGCATAAAAAATAACATAAGACCCGGCAGGGTGCAAGCTCTGCGACGTACGCCCCTCCGAATCAATCCCTGGCCCATGCCACCCTCAATGAGCTTTGCTCCCTGCACGGTGTAGTCTTAACGGTGCGTGTTGTCTTGAATCGCACGTCTCTTAGCGATCCGCTGCAAGCAGAAACCATGCAAGTTTGCCTTCTCCTTTCAATGACAAAACGCGCTCTACAGCAGTGGAAGCTAACAAGGAAAGGCAAGCCCCCAGCTCACGTCTGCCAAACCCCTAAACCCGTCATTCGGGATGATCCCAGAAAGCCCAATTAAGGAATATGCCATGCCTCAACATCCCTTGATTAAAGACTGCACTATGAGTTTTTATCTTCCAAATACCCCTCGATCGGGGAATCTACATGAATCATAAGGGCTTAGCATTATGATTTAAGGGTTGTTCCTGCACTACGGGGTATTGCGCTCCCCGGGATGCATTGCAATACGCCGGCCGCTGAAAGGCCTGCAAGGTGAAATCAAACTGTACAAAGACCACAACCACGCCAAACCCTCAAACCCCCTTTGAGTGCTAGCTCAGGAAGACTAGTGATCCTGATGCAACATGTCGCTGATGTCCCGAGGATTTTGAAGTCGAAAGCTGGAGACATTGCCTCTTTCCGCAAGAGGAACGTGAAGCCAGGTGACAGCACACACTGTTTCCAAGGTCAAAAGAAGCAACAAGGACTCAACACGAGATAGAGACAGTTTAATGGTGCTGCATGTTGAAGTCATTCCTCTCCCAGTGCTTTAGACATGAATCGCTCCTTTGACAGGAACCTGTCACCTCGAGCGACAGCACTATCATCGAAGTTGGGATGACGAGAACACCCCACCTTACCTTTACATCCGGGCAAGCAAAGTCACACTCTCCCTGATATTGAGAGCCGGAGCCTAAGATTCGAAGATCATTGCCTCTAACGCTTGCGCTTGGGCTTTCGGCTTTTGGATTTTGAGGCTTAGGTTTTAAAGGTTTAGCGGCTTGGGGTTGTGAGCATGACAGCAATGGCCTGGCTTCTGGCTGGCTATTTCTGCTGCCATGGCCTACTTGGAGGATCACAGGACTTAGTAAGTAAGGTTAGAAGTACCCTAATTGGGGTTATAAGTAATTATAAGTATAGTTACCTTAATTGTAACCCTAATTACTAACTCCCATGATCCTTGAAGTATACTGTACTGGTTCACGAAACCACGTGAAGAATCATGCCGCTGTAAAAGTTTCTTCGCAAAGCCCGCCATCACCTGTAAACCCTAAACACTCAACTTTAATCACGATTCATAGCATCGAAGCCGAGAATTATGCCAAAATGCCTGAGCCTCCAAGTACAGGGTTTAGGGTGCGATGACGGTAGCAACGATTATCGCATTAGAAGTCAAAGCAAAACGAGCTAAACCCCAACCCTAAACCCCGAACCCTACATCCCCAACTCTGACAGGCCACTTTTTCAGGGCAAATCCCATCATCCCAACTACTGCACCACGCACTGAGCACGTTTAGGGTTTAGGGGGTGGGGTGTAGGGTTTAAGGTTCATGCTTTGTAAGATGGGTTTGATAAACTTATAAGGAGGGCTTGCTGGGGGAGCTCAGCCCTGCTGTACCAGCATTAGTATAGGTGCTTCTAGGGCTTCATAAGGCTTTGGGGGTTTAGGATTGAAGGGTTGCTGGCTTCCGGTGCTGGGACGGCTCAAGGGGGTTGGCTGCATACGCACATCCTTCCGACACGTGCTCATGCCGGTGATGAGTCAAACGCACAGCTTGCGGGAACCTATCATCCTATCCTAGCCTATGGATCAGAACTACATGTTCTTTCTGCCAGCATCCGCATCCACCTTGGGAGCACGGGACTTCACTCGCAAGCTTTTGACCGCTTCAAGCCCCAAACCCAAAAGCCTTAACCGCAAAGCGTAAACCCTCACCCTTGAGCCCTGAACCCTATGCCCAAAACAAGAGGGCCAAAGCGAAACCCTAGCCCTTTACCCCGCTCCTTGATGGTTTAGGCCTTTTTTTCAGAGTCTAGGGCTCAGGGTGTAGGGCTTAGGGTTTAGAGTTTCGGATTTAGGGCAAAACTCTGGGCTTACCTGGGAGTGGCCCACAGGCCCCCGCCGAAGATCCAGGAGCCCAAGATCCCTGAAGTAGGAAATATGCCTTGAAGTATTGAAGTATTAGAACACTCATAATATGACTTCACTAAATCACTAAACTAAGAAATATCCGAGCCCAAGATCCCTGAAGCAAGACATGGGAGTTTCCGAAAATAGGGGTACCTTCTTTTGGGACCCTTGTAAGAAGGATCTTGCTATTTAGGGTACGATATTAGGGTCCCCTATTTCCGGAAAGTCCCAAATATGCCTGAAAGTATTGAAGTATTAGAGCACTCACAATCTGACTTCATGAAACTAAGAAATATGCCTTAAAGTATTGAAGTATTAGAACAATCATAACCTGACTTCATGAAACTAAGAAATATGCCTTAAAGTCTTGAAGTATTAGAGCACTCATACTCTGACTTCATTGAACTGAGAAATATGCCTTAAAGTCTGAGGGAATTCGTAACATGACTTAAACTATAATCCTCAATCAAGGGTCATTTTTGCTGGGATGTTAGGACAACTCAGCTCTCCCCGCGGTTGAAGCTTTCGGGTTCAGGGCTTGGGGTTTGGGGGGCTGGGCCGAGGCGAACGACGCAGAGCGTTTACACTGACAGGCACTGGAAGTCACAGTCCCCGAGGCCGTGACTTTCAGAAGTGCAAAGTACCCTCATCTTCGAGGAATGTTCTCCTGATTTGGGCATAGGCGTTTTAAGACTGTAGAGCTTAAGGTCTAGGGCTTGGGTTTAGGTTTAGGGACTGAGGTTTTTATGTGTCACTGTATGGTAATGCTGGACTATACTATACTGTACTATACTATACTCTGTTATGATATATGGGTGGCTGTCAAAATTCTGGTCCCTTTTTGGGTCCCTATTCTAGTACGGCAGCTATTATTTAGGTTACCCCAAAAGGGACCATGACTTTGACAACCACCCCTATCGTGAATCAACGCTTCGCTTTCCCCGCCTCAAGCTCTCCCGATCCTTCTTCGGAGAGTCTTCCGGCCTGCGACCCGAAGCTTAGGGTTCAGTTGAGGGTCTCCCTTTCCTGAGCTTCTCGGGCTCCCCTACCGGGGTCTACAATTGAATTGATCTGCAAGGGATCTATAAGGGTTTAGGGTTTAGGGCTCCTTTGGGGGAGTTTGAAGGCTCCTTTCAGGGGCCTACAAGGGTGTGCTTCAATACCATTTTCAGGATTTCGGGTTTAGGGTTCTTCGAGATGTCCAAGGCGGCTAAGCGCAGGCGAGCCTACACATGTCAACAATGTGAGCATCGACGTGAATCCATTGGGATTCGGGCTTTTCTGGCTTTCGGGTTTAGGGATTCGGGTTTAAGTTTTCGGGTTTAGGGTTTTGGGTTTAGGGTTTGGTCGTCTTCCAGCCTTTCTTCTTCAGCGGCCACGCTGTCATTCTGGAAGAAGGCGGATGGGATCGCTACAAACCTGTCCATGCATGGAGGGCGAGCTATTTCTGGGCTATGGTTAAGGAACTTAATTTAGTTTACATTACCACAAGAACGAAAATATATGGTCTAGTATAGATCTTTGGCATGGTACCTAGACTGACGACCCCTGCACTTCTTCGTCAGTGCTGACAGAACCCAGTTGTAATTCAGACAGGGTGTCGGGTCGTATGTTATTCTACAATTACAAGTATACCAGAAAATATTACGGCAAACATGTATACTGGTACAAGCTAATTCGGCTTCTCTAACCAACCTTAAACCCTACACCCATCATATCGCGAACTAAATAGGCTTCTATGCTATAGGACTATAGGACTTTCCGGGACCTGGAAGCTCTTACGACCTTAAACCCCCACTCCAAAACCCTGAACTCCAAAACCCTAACCCCGAAACCGACGAAGCCGACGGATGAACCCACCTCCGGGTTCGGAACAACGACAGCCCCATCCTGACATGCGCCGGGCTTGGGGTTGCGGTAAGGGCTCCTTTCAGGAGGCATAATCTTCACAAGGATTCCATTAAATGCTACTTCAAGGTTTAAAGGCTAGGATTTGAGGGTTTCGTGTCTATCTGGATCCCAAAGGCTACTGCAAGGCTTAAGGCTTAGAAATTAATCTTGCTCTACAGGTTACAACTTGAAGGTTAGGATTTAGGGCTTATACGGGTGCCTGTAGAGTGCGGTGTAACATTTAGGGCTGGCGGGAATAATAGCCCGGAGCGCGGGCGGTCGAGGGCCTTGGGGCCGCCGTCAGTAACCCGAATTACTAAGCCCCATGAGTCGAGTGGATGAAAGACACTGCGAAGCATCTGATGGACCTCCTGATTAGACGGAACCACGAAAAAGGGACAGGGTCTCTGCAGCGGTCGTAAACGCATACGGGATGCTAGAGTCTCAAGCTCAAATGGCCTGTCTGGTAGGATTTCAGAAGGTGGGGGCCAGCACGCTGGACCGAGACGCACTTTCAACCACGAACCGCAACCTCCAAGATCACCGATGTTCGCCCAGAAGCCTCAAGCTTGAACGCTTAACCCCAAAATTACTGTGCTGCCCTAAACCCTTCAACACCAGAGACTGTTGCACCCAAGTCTCGTTTCGTCATCCGCACACCAATGGTCTGAGCCGTAATGAGATGAGCCGCCACGACTGAACCTCGCCAAGGGGTTTAGGGTTTCGGGTTTGACTCGAAACCCGTTCAAAAGCCCCCCGCAATTCCGAGGCAGTTTCAAAAACCCCTCCATTCAGACATGGACCCAAAGTTTGAGTCATAGGCCCTAAACCCTAAACCCTAAACCCTAAACCCTAAACCCCAAAGATTGAGTCATAGGGTTCCTCTTCGCACTCAAGGGCGACATTCCGTAACGAAAGGGCTTCCGGCTACTGAGTCTCTCAGACCCTAAAGCCGAAAACACTTCTTGACCCCCTTAAAGGAACCCTTTTAGGAGCCCTTCTAGATCCCTCAAGAGGTCCTTTAAGGGATCCTTCAAGGCTGCTGCAAGGCTGCCTTAAAGGAACCCTTTAAGGAGCCCTTCTAGATCCCTGAGTACGCTTGATGATATAAATCCTGCATTACACTTTTACCCATAATAAGGAATACAGCGTAATTTCATAGTTGTTAAGGTCATTAAGGTAAACCCTAAACCCGAAACCCTGATAGGGTTCCCTTGAAGGAACCCCCGAGATCTATATCATCAACCGTCAGGCTAAGGAGTTTATATCACTAGACCTAAGAGTAACCTAGGAATAAAAAGGGTGCCCTTTTTGGTTTAAAGGGGGTTTATAAGGGAACCTAAGCCTCAAAAAAGGGAATAAGGGCCTACCTAGATCATGAACCCTCGGAGCCCTAAACCCAAGGGGCGCCTCCCAGAAGCTCGCGTCGAGGTGTCGCTCTGCATACCTCGGAGAGAAAAGGTCCACTTCCGCCAATGTTCCCTTCGGGTTTCAGGTTGGGTTTAAGGTTTCGGGTGTAAGGTTTCGGGTGTAAGGTTTCGGGTGTAAGGTTGGGTTTAAGGATTCGGGTTTAAGGTTTAGGGTTTAGGGTTAATGTTTCGGGTTTAAGGTTTCGGGTTTAAGGTTTAGCGTTTAGGGTTTTGGGTTGGGGGTTTAGGCTTTCGGATTCAGGGTTTTGGGTTTACGGTTTAGGGATGAAGGTAGATATGAATATCGAGCATGTAATAAGAGCAATAACGAAAGCGAAAGAAGAAGCAAGAATGATGGGAGGCCAAAAGCGGGGTTTAAGATTCTTGGGGTTGCGATTCCTTATATGAACCCTATTGTGGGAACCCTAATCCCTGCTAAACCCCCATAGGCTAAACCCCCCCTTTTGGCCTCCCACGAAAGAAGGACGCCAAGAAGAGCAATAGTCAGTTTACTTAGCTCTGGTCAGTAGGGAATGGAGGAATAGGGTACCATTATAACTACTATTACTACCATTCTTTCATTCCCTACTAACCAAAGGTAAGTTTAGTAGTGGTGGTGGCAGCGGTGGAAGTAGTGTAGTTGTTTTTGCCGATCGAGAAGAAGACATAGAAGGAACAAACGAGGATGACAACAGTGACGACCACAACAGCAAGAAGGATAGCCACCAGAAGAAGAAGAAGCAGCTAGTGAAACCAGCTTATGTACTATACTTGTACTATAGATCCCTGTTATGGTACAGAAATGTCGGTTGAACCACTTTACAAAAACCCGACAGAAACAGGAAGAAGGCTTCCGACCGATGAAAGCTCCCCGATCTCCGCTGCGTCGCATCACGGTCCGTCACTGGAACGTTCACGAAGCACTCGGGTGTCCAGTTCAGGGTTTCGGGTTTAGGGTTTAGGGTCTAGGGTTTAGGGTTTAGGGTTTAGGGTCAGGCCCTGTGTTGGGATCCCAAGTGCAACATGGGCAAGACCAAGGGCCCGCATAAGTCTGCAGCACCAGAGACTTGACATCTATGGGCGATAAGACCCACATACCAAGAGGGTCCAGAAGCATTCCTATTATGGAATTAGGGTCCCAAAACCATAGTAGGGATGGTTTTTTGGGACCTAATTCCATAATGGTAGTGTATATGGACCCTCTGGGATAAAGAACAAAGCAAAACAATTACGTGCATGCTGTTTCGAACGCCTTCGAGTCCTCCATCCAATTATGATGGCCAGTTCCTTGAGACAGAAATCAGAAGCACAGGATAGGCTCCTGCCGATAAACTAAGGCAGAAATCTGAAGCATTAGCAACCGTATCCCCTCGTGGTCCCTAAATGACTACTTGAAGGCTCATGGGACTTAGTAAGTAAGGTTATAAGTAGGTTATAATTAGGATAACCCGACTTAGGGGACTTATAACCCCAATTATAACCTACTTACTAAGTCCCATGATCCTCTAAGTAAATGACTAGAGAAGGATCTATTCCAAGGCCCTGCCCTGCAAAGGAAGCCTTCCTTTAGGAAAACCCCAAACTACCCTAAACACCAAATCAAGGGATTATTCAGGTTCCTAAAACTTTGGGTCTGTCATCGTGTAAGCTGTCTTGCTTGGGCTCGGGAGGAGCAAATAAGGCCTTACTTCCTCCTCCCCAGTGATTGCTCTTAGGGGATGAGTGAAGCATCACTGCGCAAGTATGATGAGCATCATTTGCACGGCCCCGTTCCCGGATAGAAGCAGGGAGGGAAGGGTCGGGGAGGAGGGAGGGAGGCCCGGCTACTCCCTCCTTCCCGCCACTCCCCTGCTACTCCCCTCCTACTGCCCGCTACTCCCCTCCTACTCCCCTGCTACTCCCCAACTACTCCCAACTACTCCCCTACAACTCGTTTGCTGCTCCCTCGCTCCTCACTCCCCTTGCTACTCCCTCTTACTCCCCTTGCTACTCCCTTGCTACTCCCCTGCTACTCCCCTGCTACTCCCCTGCTACTCCCTTGCTACTCCCCTGCTACTCTGCTACTCGCCTGCACTCCCTTGTGCTACTCCCTTCCTACTGCCCTGCTACTCCGTTGCTACTCCCTGCTACTCCCTTGCTACTCCCCTCCTACTCCCCTGCGACTCCCGTGCTACTCGCCTAGTATTTGTCGCAGGAAAGTAGGAGGGGGAGGAGCAGGGCAAGGCAGGGCTGCAATTTACAAGGCATCCAGGATTCAACCGGACTCAAAAACGAGCATGTACCAACTTACCAGACGTAGGAACCAAAAACGTAGACACCTGCAAAATGCTTGGACCAAACCCCCAACCAAACCCCCAAAACCCCTAAAACCCCTAAAACCCCTAAAGCCTCAACCCAAAAACCTCCTGCACCCTTCCCTCAAAGGCGTCCAAGACATCAAAGCCCCAGGTGCTTCGCTGGCTGAAGGCCTTGATCACTTCCAGCGAGATGGGGACTGGAATGGGCTCCTCTTGCCTGATTTGGGAGTTTCTGAGAATTAGGGGTACCGTATTTTGGGGTCCTTCTGATAAGGATCCTACTATTTGGGGTACTACATTAGGGTCCCCTATTTTCGGAAACTCTCATTTAGGGTTTCGGTTTTGGGGTTTAGGGTTCACGGTTTCGGGTTTTGGGCTTTGGGGTTAGGGCCTTTCTTTTCTTGCGTCCTGAAAAAATTCTACTACCAGCGCATCCCACATCATTGGTGCTACCCAGACCCTGAATCACCACCACACCAACTCCAAACCCAAGGCTACAACGGATTAGGGCTTTCGGGGTTTATGGGTCTGCGCGCAGGTACGACCCGAAAAGGGCTTAGGGTCTATTGTTTCGGGTTGAGGGAGTCTTCATGAAAAGCCAAGATGCTTTCTCTGCTGCAGGGCAGGGACAGGGATGTCGAGACAACAGCACTTCTCCACGCACCTGCGGCTAGGTCATTCAGATCTTCGGCTGTATACGGGATTATGTCTATCCCTAGTACCCAAAAACCCCTAAACCCGTAAGTATGCTTCGACCTACCGCCTTGAAGCCCGAACCCGAAAACCCTGAACTCTGAAACCCTAAAGACTCAAACTCCGTAGCAGAGAGTCCTCCAAAAAGGCGCAAAACAAGAAGGGTTTGAAGCAAATAAGGTGGTTTGACGATTGCGGAAACCCTAAACCCTGAAACCCAATGGGTTTCTAGCAAAGAAACCCTAAACCCTGAACCCCTTGTTAAACCCTAAACCCTAAACCAACTTAAGTGAAGATCCTCAGCTTTCTCTGAGCCCAAGGCAGGCAGCGGCCATCGAGAATGACCACCATGTTGCTACCCCAGTCACTGTGCCTCCTATGTGCTGCGACGCTGAAGCCGGAGGAGAACGGAGAACGGGGCCAGCGCTGCAGCTTTTTGGGCTCAGGAAAGAGGCTGAGGGTGTAGGGTAGAGTATAGGGTTTACGGTTCAGGGTTCAGGGTGTGGAGCCCGAACCCCTAAACCCTATAAACGCTAAACCCCTAAATCCTAAACCCGAGAGTAGAGAGCTTAGGCTTTAAAGTACAGGCGTAACGTACGGCTTCGGGTCGAGTATGGAAAAACGCGTCAGGCACCGGGCTTCGCGTTGGACGTACAGGGCCTGGTGCTTAAAGGATCGTTGGACTTAGCAGCTTGGGCTTTAAATAAGGTAAATGTACTTAATTGTAATTACTGATAAACTTAACTAAGGTACTTCGAAGCTTACTTACGAAGTCACATGTACCACGTGGAAAAGCATGAATGCCAAGGGCCGATACGAAGCTGCCGGACGCTTCCGCGGGGGTGTGGCAGGCTCAGCCTGCAAAGGTAGTTTGAAAGTTTTGCCCCGAGACTTCACAACCCCGTAATTCAGGAATATACCGTTGAATTTGAATTAGTTAAGGTATATTCCGTAATTAAAAATGTGGAATTTTGAAGCCTCCGGGTGGGGCTCCCGAACGTATTTTCCGACTGGTGCATATAGGACCGGATGGAGCTACCGGATACGTCTGTGGAAATGTCTGTGCGCAGGCTTTCTATTGTATGTATCCTAGCATATAATTAAATCAACAAACTTTATGCCGCTGCCTGTCTGTATGTGCACATGTACAGATGCATGTATGAATGAACGGATGCATGTATTGTATTTATACATGCATGTGTGCGCATGCATTCATGGATGGATGGATGGATGGATGGATGGATAGATGGAGGCAGGGAGACAGGGAGGGAGGGAGGCAGGGAGGGAGGGATTCATGGATGGACGGATGGATGGATGGATCAATGTTGAGGCAACTCAAGCAAGTTCCTTAACCTTCGTCCCTAAAACGATAGCAAACCTTGTGTTCAAGACACCCACAAGAATCAATGCTAGCTGAAGCTAAATTCGTTCAAAAAATCCACAGAATTTCAGGTGCAGCAAGTTACCAGACCTTGCGGGTCAACAAGACAAGTATGCGGTATGCGCTCAAACCCACATCCATCCATCCATCCATCCATCCATCCATCCATCCATCCATCCATCCCTCCGTGCGTCCGTCCGTAGTCCGTCCGTCCATACATGCATCGAGGGATATATAGTAATTGAGTAGGAGGTTCACTTATGACTTATGACTGCAACTTAGACTAGGTCACCTAACAGTGAGCACTGTGACAAAGTAACCGCCAGCCACATAGCATGCACTAAGAGGCAAGCATCAGCAGCATCATGGCACCGCAAACCCCAAAACCCGCCACTTCTTCCCGAAAGCCTGCAAGAAAAAGTTGGTAAACAAGCACCCAAAACCCCAAATCCTAAATCCTAAACTCACCCCAAGGCTCCCGGCCTCACATGACGTCCGGGTAAACCCTAAACCCTCCCGCCTCCATGTGGGGAAAAAGTTCCCGAGCCGGTCCCCGCTCCAGAAGATCTAACCCCCACCTGGGCTCCAAAGCCCTTTTTGGGCTTTCTACTTGGAGGATCAGGGGACTTAGTAAGTAACGTTATAAGTCCCCTAACTGGGGTTATAAGTCATTATAAGTATAGTTACCTTATTTATAACCCTAGTTTTACTAAGTCCCATGATCCTTTAAGTAGGGCTTTGGGGTTTAGGGTGCAGGATTTCGGATGTAGGGGGTTTGGTGGTTTAGGGTGCTCGGAAGCCCCTGTTAAAAGGCTTTGTAGCGCAATGGGGCCCTTTGCAAGGGTTTTCTAGGGCTTCAGACGGTTTTGGGTTTTGGGCCCGTTTAAGGGTCTTCTAGGGCTGTGGACGGGTTTGGCTTTGAGGGTGTAGGGTTTAGGGTGGAGGGCTTTGGTGAACTATAAGAGGGTCTCATAGAGCTCAATTATGTAAAGGTTTCCTCAAAGCATTTACTGAAATCTCGGGAGTAGAATCATAAAACCCTGTACCTTCGAAACGCCCTAAATCTGCAATGACAAGAGGTACCGGGTTTTACAAGGTGTCTTATCGGGTTTCGCTGGGGATTCAGAAGGGTTTAGTGGCTTCATAAGGGCTACCTTGGTGGAAGAGTCGTTAGGGGTGTGTCCTGCTGGCGTGGCTTTCGTTTCGAGGCTCGCCTACCGGAAACGAAAGTGCTCCTGTTTAGGGCTGTAGGAGCTTGTTCTGAACAGTCTTGAACCACAAGGTGGGAAATGTTGTCAAAGCTTCAGGGTCTGCGCCGACTAGACTAGAAACGCTACACCCTCCAAAAAATCCCTGAACCCCAGATCACGCCTAAACTCTAAAGCCCAAACCCGAAAACCTCATCCCTAAAGCCCTGAAACCCAAGATCACCCTAAACCGAAAACCCTGCACCCTAAAGCTTGAACTCTAAACCCTGAACCCTAAACCTTAAACCCTAAACCCTAAACCCTAGACCCTGTACCCTAAACCTTAAACCCTAAACCCTGAAATTCCTAAACCCTGAAATTCCTAAACCCTGAAATTCCTAAACCCTAAGATCCATAAACCTTAAAACCCCTAAACCCTAAATCTCATCCCAGAGCCCTGAGACCCCAGATCACCCTGAACCCAACTTAGAGGATCATGGGACTTAGTAAGTGTAGGGTTCCTTTAAGGGGTCCTTATAGGGATCTATAGGGCTCCTTAAAAGGATCTATGGGGTTTAGGGTTTAGGGTCTACTTAGAGGATCATGGGACGTAGTTAGTGGGTTATAATTGGGGTTATAAGTCCCCTAAGTGTGGTTATCCGAATTATAACCTACTTATAACCTTACTTACTAAGTCCCATGAGCCTTCAAGTAGACCCTAAACCCTAAACCCTATAGATCCCTTTTAAGGAACCCTATAGATCCCTTTAAGGATCCCTTTAAGGAACCCAAGTAAAGGCCTGAACCCCAAGATAGGCTCTCCGGCATCTCGGGGGAGCTCGCTGCCGGCGGCCTTGCATTGGTAGATGACTTAGGGGGACTTAGTAAGGGTTCTTAAAGGGCTCCTTAAAGGGATCTATATAGGGTTCCTTAAAGGGATCTATAGGGTTTAGGCTGGAGGATCAGGGGACTTAGTAAGTAAGGTCATAAGCACCCTAATTGGAGTTGCAAATCATTATTTGTAACCTTACCTTATTTATAAGCCTAGTTACTAAGTTCCATGATCCTTTAAGGAGGGGTCATATCGGGGGGGGGGGGGGGGGGGGGGCCTTCAAACATTTCTGTATAAAGGGGGTCTTTAAGGGTAGGAGGGTTTCGTCTCGGAATCTGATAAAGAAACCCTGGGTCTTTATTGGGGTTCTTTAGGTGGACCCATTCTTTTCGGGCCATGGGACTTAGGTTTCTTAATCAGGCTCCTACACTAGTATGGGGGCCCTTAACATTTCTTTCAAAGGTTCTTGTAAAGGGGTCTATACGGGTTACTTTCAGGGTCTAGTATAGGGGCCTCAATATGTCAATAAGGTCTGGGGTGTGTTATGAGTACATTTATAATACGGAACTCTAGGGAAAAACACTCGATAACCACTCAGAAATATTCAAGCTTCTGGATTAGCTTCCCGCGCTAAGTACTGTAAGGAATGGCATGTGCAGGGGGCCGCCTCAAGCGTCGCGGCGATGGAGTGCGCAAGCCGTACCTGCAAAGTCTCAGCAATGCAGGTGGACATGCGAACTTGCAGACTGACACAAACCCTCCTAAACCTAACAGGTGAACTTAAACCCTAAACCCCTCAACCCTAAACACTAAACCCCTAAACCCTGAACAATAAAGTGCCCCAAACCCTCAACCCCCGAACTCTCAACCACGAATCCAGGGCTTTCTCCTAAACTTTTGTCCCTAAACCCTTCAGAAGGGGACGCCGTGGACGCTTGTTTCTTCCTTGTCGGTTGTGTTCCCAGCCGGTGCCCTGACTTAATGACTTAAAAACCCTTAACCCTGAACCCTCTTAAACTTCCTAAACCCTAAGCCAACTTTCCGGCGCACTCGTAAGCGATCGGGGAAGCAAAGCCCGCCATGTTGTTCCTGCGCTACGCCAAGACTTAGAGCTCTCGAGGCCTATTTGCGTGGGGGATTTAAGGTTTTCGGGTTTTCGGGTTTAGGGTTTAGGGGTTTAGGGTTTAGGGTTTCAGGGTTTAGGGGTTCAGGGTTTAGGGGTTCAGGGTTTAGGGGATTGGGGTTCGTCTTCTACATGCGCTGTGTCTAGGGTTGAAGGTGGAGGGTTTTGGCTTTCCCGTGCAGGAACATCAAAAACAGCCCGTAAAGAGATTCACTCGGAAGCTCGTAGGTGGTTTGGTAGGATGGGCCGATGGGACTGTTACAGGGGTTGTGGGTTCAGGGTTTGGTGTTTAGAGGTTTGCGAATTCCGAGGTGTAGCTGTGGACAAGGCACTTACCTAGACACCTTTAACATATAGAAATCCTGGACCTTAAGGTTCTTGAACTAGCACGAATGAACAACTTCCGCGATCCTCATCCTAAAATTAGAGTCTAAAGCCTTGAGCCCAACAGCCTGAAGACTGAATCTACTCTTAAAGCTCTACGGGTCTGGTGTTCAAGGCTTGGCACACGCCAACATACCCCAAACGCTTACACCATTACACTCAAACACGATATCTTGAGGCCATCGGGGCGCTAGTTAGGCCCCTATGTTTCCCGGGCCTCGTGACAGCCAAAGTCTTCGTCCGTGGTCCATCATCTAGGAAGATGGCTGCATCTTCCTTTGTGTCTATCCTGCCTGGTTTTTCATGCGTCTGTGCCGTGGGCTACTCGTAACACTTCTGCCAAGGAGAAGAACAATCAGAAAGGTAGTACCGTAGTGTAGTCGTCAACCATTCCTTTTGAAAATTCCACTGGCCTGAGTCCACCAGTGAACCCTAAACCCTAAGCCTCCTTTCTTCGATTCGCCTCGCTTCAAAAGTAGGGGGACAAGCAATACGCTCCGATCCGAATCAGGCAGATGGGCGAAGTTGACACTTTATGGTGTTTAAGGTTTGGGGGTTTGGGGGTCTTCCTTGCATCAGGGTTTAGGGTTTAGGGTCTATAATTGCCTAGGGTTGAAGGTGTAAGGTTTTGACTTCAGGGGTTCTAGGCTTCAGAGTTTAGGAGTTAGGGCTTAGTGTAGGATTCATGAGTGCACCCTGACTTCAAAAACATGCGGAACACAACACGACCAACGGGCCTGAGACCCGAGAATATCTGTCCTAAGCAGCGCTAGGCACCTGCTGTGCAAAGCACCACAACCGAAGACACACACACACACATGTTGCTTGCACACCTACGTTCCTATCTATATCTATGTTTGAATTTGGATTCATCTTACACATGCCTAAACTTCTGCTTATACTTGTACTTTTGCTTGTGCTTCTGTGCATATACACATATAGTTACCTGTGTGTGTGTGTGCGTGCGTATGTGTCTATTTCTGCATTTAGGTTTATCTATTTACCTGTTTGTTATTTTTTTCATATTGATACTTATACATGATAAGTAGTTATCACACATTTCAACATTTCAAGCTTGACTACTGTAGCTGACTAGCTGTTACATGTTGTCTACGAGTGTGTAAGAAAGGCTGTGTGAAGACCACCTCCCTGCGATGGGGCGGCGTGGCTCCGCTCTGTGGGCTGCTGGGAGCTCCTTCCATGGTCTACTCGTGCCCTGAACCCGAAACCCTAAACCCTAAAAACTCTAAAACCCTAAAAACCAAAAAAACCCTAAAACCCCTAAAACCCTAAAACCCTCAAAAACCCTGAAAACGTTAAAAAAACTAAAAAAACTAACAACCCTAAAAAAAAAACATTAAAACGCGAAAAACCCTAAAAACCCTAAAACCCTAAACCCTAAACACCCTAAAGACCCTAAAAACCCTAAACACCCTTAAAACCCTAAAAACGCCTAAAACCCTGAAAGCCCTAAAAACCCTAAAAACACCAAAAACCCTAAAAACTCTAAACACCCTTAAAACCCTAAAAACCCTAAAAACCCTAAAACCCTAAAACCTAAAAAAACCTTAAAACCTTAAAACCCTAAAAGCCCTAAAACCTAAACACCCAAAAAAACCTAAAAACCCTAAACACCCTTAAAACCCTAAAAACCCCCAAAACCCTAAAACCCTAAAAACCCCGAAAACAAAAAAAAACTAAACACCCTTAAAACCCTAAAAACTCTAAAACCCTAAAACCCTAAAAAAAATGCGAAAATAAAACCCTAAATAAACCCTAAACACCCTTGAAACCCTAAAAACCCTAAAACCCTAAAACCCTAAAACACCTTAAAAGCCCTAAAAGCTAAACACCCTAAAAACCCTGAACACCCTTAAAACCCTAAAAACCCTCAAACACCCCAAAAACCCTAAAAGCCCTCAAACCCCGAAAACCCTAAACCCCAGAACGGGATTCGGTGTGGGCCTCGGTCTTGGCTTTTAAATCTTAGGTCTTGGAGCTAAGTGCTTCGGGTTTCAACAGGGAAAAGGAGGGACCCTTAATGGGGAACCCTACCCTGTAATGGGCTAGAGAATGGGTATATGACCGCTATATTAAGGGTATATACCTAGGGGTCCTGATTAAGGGTCCCTCCTTTTACCCTGGGAGGGTTTGGAGCTTGGGGCTAGGGGTTTGATGAGGCAGCGCTTAAGGCTTACAGTTTAGAGTTCGACGTTTCGGTTTAAGCTCAAGGTGACACCCCTTCCTCCGTTTGCAGCTTGGGCTGCAATTGCTGCTTCCAACTCTGGCCTAAGGTGGACGCTTCTCGTGGCATTTGGGGCAGCACGCGCCTCCCAGTGTCCTGCTCGCGGTCAGCATCTGCGCCTGAAGAGACATGCAGTAGAGCATTTCAAGCTTGCACAAGCCTTCCCTGGACGCGGAATTCCCCTCAAAGGAAAATTTTGGAGAGGATGGATCTTCGTCTAACATCCTACCCTAGCACAAATGCCCCCTTTACATGACCTTCAGATACCTGCTCTTCAGTATACTGTGGGCACTTGTGTCTCGAAATGTGTAAGTAGGTCTTCATATACATATGTGTATGTATATGCACCATGTGTTTGATGCATACGTGCACATGTACATGTTCACGTACATGAGTATATACATATATAGGCATGTCAATTGCTGCTGCACCATACACCCGCTTGGCTTTGCGGAACTTGTGTGTTTGCATACATGGAACACATGGCTGAACCTCTGTAGCCTTTACCCTACACGCCAAACCGCGGCAAATACAGAATCAAGCCCGTAAAATCCACCCTTAAAGAAACCCACCGAGCCCTCCAAAAAAAGCTAAACCCTGTATAGAAGCCCACATAGTTACCCCGTAGTAACCCTTTGTCATAACAACTATAACCCCTACCGGAGCCTTTACCGCAAACTTTTAACCCTGAAACCCTGAAGCCTTAAACCTTAAACCCTGAAGGAACCCCCAAAACCCAAGCGACTGCGCCTTGGCGCGCCAGCCGTGAAAGCTCGGCCAAGCGCCGAAGCTGCAAGGGTTGGGCTTTGGATTTAAGGCTTCCTTTCAAGGCTCTATCTTAGGAACGTTTAGGGTGTTCCTTTTAGGGATCTATAGGGGATCGATGATCTATAAGTTTTGAGGGTTCCTTTCAGGGCTCTATAAGGAACCTGTAGGGTTTTTCTTCCAACGATCTTTCCGGGATCGACAATCTGTAAGGGCTCCAGCACGGGTTTCGGATTTAAGGTTCCAGGGCTTTAGGGTTTAGGGTTTAGGGATTAGGGTTTAGGGTTTAGGGTTTAGGGTTTAGGGGGCTTTAAGGTTTAGGGTTTAGGGATTAGGGTTTAGGGTTTAGGGTTTAGGGTTTAGGGTTTAGGGGGCTTTAGGGTTTAGGGCTCAGGGTTTTGAAGCTGCAGGGCAATGGAGGAGTTGTACTGGTCAAGAGCCTAGCTGTAGGTAAGCCCTTCACATTGACAGGCAACACGGCGATCGCTGATCCGGCCGAACTCCTCCTACAACGATGTAAGTGACTTGATTCAATGCGAGTACGGTCTTTTGAGTGCTACAGTACTAAACCACCGCTGTTACCATACCTGGCGTTTCAAGCCATTACTGTCGCTATTCTAGCTCCTACAGCGTTTATTTGTATGATCATGGTGTATATTCTTATCACTCGCTGCTGCGCCTGGCCTAGCGTCGGTTTCCGTGTTCCCACACTTAGACGATGCTACAAAGGCTACTGTCGGCTTGAAACTTTTCTGCTTCCTGCCGCTGCCACCTTTGTCGCGACATCTTCAATGACTCTTCCAGTTGCAAATTTTGCTCTCTTGTTCTCTTGCCAGCACCACTTCGAAAATGACCACTGCTGCTGTTACTGCTGCTACGACTGCTGCTACTGCTACTGCTACTCCTACTATTGGGGTTTAGGGTTAAGGGCTTTAGGGTTCCTCCTCGCACATCGGCTTTAGGGCTTCGGCTTTTCTTGGTAAGTATGCAGGATCCCCTTCATGTCGTACCCTAAGACAGGGACCTGAATACAGGCCCCAACACAAAACCCCTATGCTACCCCTTACAGGTAATCCTCACAGACCCCTTCAGAAGGAACCCTTGAAGGAGCTCTGTAACACCGGGGCCCTTATAGATAATGCTTATAGACCCCTTTACAGGGAACCCTTAAAGGAGCCCTATAACACCGGGGCCCTTTTTTGATAATCCTTATAGACCCCTTTAGAAGGAACCCGTAAAGGAGCCCCATAACACCGGGCCCTTAATCCGTATATATAGACCCCTTTAGAAGGAACCCTTAAAGGAACCCTATAACACCGGGGCCCTTTAAAGGGACCCGTTAAAGGAACCCTATTCTAATTACTATGGCCCCTATATTACCCTATAACCTCTGAAGCCCTTCTGCTCAAGCGACCGCTTTTCAGAGAAACCCTAAACCCTAAACCCTAAACCCCTAAACCCTAAACCCCAAACCTAAACCCTAAACCCTAAACCCTAAACCTAAACCCTAAACCCTAAACACTAAACCCTAAACACTAAAGAAAAGCCTCGACTTCCACTGCGCT